TTTCAATGAGCCAGACGTTACCAGCAACTATTAATGGTTGGTTACTGCCACTTATCGACTAATTGCCTACGTGTACTGCTGCCGGATCATCGTTACAAAAATCAACAAACACTTATGTCGTCTCCAATGCAATCTAGAAATTTAAATTGTTTATAGTGCTAATCTTTGCACTTAAGATTGAGCATTAAAATATGTAGAAAAAGTGCGAAAAGATTGTCGCCGCTGTGGGAATCGAACCCACGTCTTCGGCATTCGCGGCCTGACGCTTTAGCCACTGAGCTAAATGGCTGATTACCACACCGACGAAAATCTTAACGCATTCTTCTACATTGTGTACTTCTACGTGACGTGGGTTCGATTCCCACAGCGGCGACAATCTTTTCGCACTTTTTCTACACATTTTAATAGACAGAGATCGTTAAGTTCTATGTAAAAAATACGATGACCTTGTCACTTAATGCAGTGCTTGGTTTTGATACCTCAATACTTCCGAGTTTGACGATATTTGGAAAACCATTGTAGTACGCGTCACTCACGCGGATTCCAATCCACGATCGCAGTCTACTGTCTACCTCTGCAAATCGGAATTCTATAACTTATTTTGTTTGTAATTTTATCATTAAGTTAAAAATGGACAATGCCAAAATAGTGAAATTCTAACAGCCTTAGTATTCAATATTTTACATTTGAATTAAACTTAAAAACTTAGTTTTTATTTTTATAAAATTTAAAATTTCTGTTCATAGACAAACATTAATTTCGTTATTTTCTCTTCCTTGTAACGTTACGTGATCACAATTCATGAAAACGTATCAATCGGAAGTTCTGCAAACTTCCCAGAATATTTCGCTAACGATCATCGAGCCTCTTGGATCATCAATTTCACGGCGTTAGTTCTTTATTCAAATATAAATCTATTTACATTCGATTTTTGAACCAGCATTTTGTTTTATTTGTAGTTCTTAAGTAGGATACTCAGATGGTGAAGCATTGGGTAACACAAGAAGATTTATTGGTTTAGGTATCTCATTAATCAGTTATAGGACTAAAGAACAATTCATTTTAAACAAATTTTCACAGTTTTATTATAAAAACATTATTATAAAACTTCTACATATACAAGTAGTACTCAAAATGAAAATAAATTCTGATTATTGTATGAGCTTTCTAGGACAACGTGTTTAATATGTCAACATTGTTTATAAGGTTTCCTGGCGAAAATGTGGTACAAGGACGGTCTTAGTCACTAATTATGTCGTAATAAGATATGTGGTCATTATTTTATTATTTTTAAGTTATGATTTATATTAAGACGCTCAGCGTAATTTATCTAATCTAAAGTTTATTTTAATGAGTATTGAGAAAAAAAGCATCAAAAGTCTGCAGGCTTTTCTGTGCTAACCTTTCACAGTCAGACGCGAACCTTTATCCTTTACGGAGGATAATCTGTATGTAATCATCGAAATGTAAGCTCACAACCCCATGTTGGCTGAGTATACATTTAACTAAGTGTTTACAAAAATGTAGGTGTATATTTTTTAACATTAGGCAAAATTTTTATACGCTCGAGAAGACATGAGCTCGACAAAGGAAGCTCGGTCTATGAGAAGACGGATGGCGTAAAGTGTGAATATTTATAATTTCGCGTTACATACGTTAAAGTGTCAGTGGAGACCCTGACTAGTGTTGGCAACTTGTGACATCTCTGGTGAAGTCTGGGGCCGGTTATAATTTTCTAATGAACTCCGTCCGATAGGTACGCCAGCAATGCTGGACGAAGAGAAGGCCGAATGCCTGGCTGACAGCCTAGAGTCTCAATGCTCCCCCAGTCTGCTTCCGATCGACCCCGAACACCTCCGCAAGGTGAACGAAGAGGTAGAAAGGAAAGCCTTAGAGCCACTTCGCGATCCCGTTCCCCCAGTCACGTGCTCCGAACTAATAGACACCATTAATAAACTACGCCCGCGTAAAGCACCAGGCTCAGATGGTATCACCAATAAGGTGACCAAGCTCCTCCCTACTAGCATCCTTCAGATACTAGTATTAATTTACAACGCGGCCTTAACCGAAGGCTTCTTCCCATCCGAGTGGAAGGAAGCCGATGTCATAGAGTTCCTCAAACCCTCTAAACCCGCCACTCTCCCAACCTCATATCGTCCAATAAGTCTTCTCAAAACATTTGGGAAGATCTTTGAAAGACTAATATTAGCCCGCTTAAGATCCCTTATGGACACTAAAGGGCTCCCCACCCCAGAACAGTTTGGATTTAGAGCCAAACACTCATGTACCCATCAAGTGCACCGCATCACGGAGCACATTTTAACTAAACGTCAACGTGGACTCAACACCGGTGCACTCTTCCGTGGCAAAAGCGTGGTCTGGCAAAAACAAGCTATACGGGTACGGAGTGTCTCTCGTAATACGAGACTTCCTAAGTAATCGAGCCTTTCGCTATCGCGTCGAGGGCGTGTGTTCGACTACGCATCCCGTTCGAGCCGGGTGCCCCAAGGGTCGGTGTTGGGACCAGTCTTGTTCACTCTCTACACCAATGACATGCCGCGTGTCAAAGATGTAGAACTTGCTCTTTTTGCCGACGACACCTGTATCTATACCACAGGCAGAACACCCGAATTGATCCATCGACGCCTCCAAGCTGCGGCCATCACCATCGGTGACTGGTTTCGGCAATGGAGGATCAATCCCGAAATCCCGATCCGATCGAAATCAATCCCGCCAAAAGCGCGGCAGTCCTTTTCGCGCACAAAAAGAACATACCCATTCCACCCCCCGTTAAACTCTTGGACAGCAACTATTGATGGGTTAATAAAATCAAATATCTAGGCGTCGTCCTCGACTCCCAGCTTAAATTCACCCAGCACGTGACCCAGGTCAGGAACCGGGCGGCCTTCGTACTCGGTCGCCTCTACCCGCTCCTCAATAAAACGTCAAAAATGTCCCTTCGGAACAAGGTGACCTTATATAAGGCAGTAGTTCGCCCTATCATGACGTAAGCGAGCCCCGTCTTCGCTCACATTGCTCCGAAGCAAATACACCGACTTCAGGTGATTCAAAATCGATTCTTGCGCAGAGCCACGGGAGCACCCTGGTTCATGCGCAATATCGACCTACATGTCGATCTAGAATTGCCCACCATCGCGCAATTCCTGAAGTCGGCGTCGCGCCGATATTTCGATTCCGCCGCCGCGCATCCCAACCCACTTATCGTAGGTGCCGTCACCTACAGGCCCTTGCCGCTAAATATTTTCCGCCGCGATTACCGAAGACCGCGTCACGTTCTCGACTTCCCTGACGATGAGACGACTATCGCCATCGAAAGGATCAAAAAACTCAAGAAACACACCAACACACACCGTACTCGCCGGCGAGTGCGGCAAACATATACTAGGTTCCGCCACGTACCTGGCAGGTTTTCCCCTATTAATGATAGAAGCGTTGCTGGAGTTTCTTCCGTCACTTCTTCTCCCAGCGCCAACGCTCTCCGAAGTGGTAGTAATGTTAGCTCTAGTAATTCCCCCAGTCAGATAATAGCTACCGATCGAGCCGAGGTCCGGCCCTCTCGGGCACCCTCGAATCGGAATGCTAAACGCGTGCTGAGTGACAGCCCAAGCCGAGGTCCCCTCTCGGGGACCCTTGAGCCTGATCACTCCATGGAGCGCCCGCCAAAGCGCCCTAAGAGCTTGGCGGCCTCCCAAACCGGTAATAATAATAGCGTGACGGCCCGAGCCCAGGCTCCCCCGGGAGCCCTCGAGCTTAGTCACCATAACGCGTAATAATAGTACGCCGAGGTTCAGGCTAGGCGCCTCGTGCGCCAGGCCACCTCAAGTCCGTCGGATCTGTAAAGGCCCCTAAGGCCAACAGTGGCTCATCCAGCCGAAAAAAAAAATTCTAATGAACCGCTTGCTCAGCACCCGAGTTTGAGTTAATAAATTTGAATAAGCCATTGAGACTGAAATCCCACTGGTATTCAAAAATTATATAATGTTAACTTGGAATATTTTGTGAACACACCAACGACAAACAATTAAACGAATTAAGATACAGCTAACTTTAATTGTTGTTCGCTTGAATGAATTCATCAGAATATAATATATTTTGTTATTTAACAAAATAGGGATGAGAGAATGTCGTTAGTTTTGAGAAGTTTGGAAAATCTAACTTACCCAAGTTAATTGTGAACGACAGATATTGAATTCTAAATCAGTACCACCTGTCATCCCCTGCCGCTTTTGTAATAATGTATTGTGTTCACTGAAACACAATACATAAATACACTATGTACTGAGATAGATACGTAGTTTTCATCTCAAATCGACTTATTCGATCAGTAGATGTCGTAGCAATAGTACTAACGATGGTCATAAATAAACATTTCGAGAAGTTATAAAATGTATCCTAATAACATGAAATAACGTGAAATAATAAAAGTGAAATGGTAAAAAATCAGGTGAGACTCTTGCTCCTATTTGCGGTAATAGGTTACCTGGTAAAACTTACCAGTTTTTTAGCATCCACAGAACTAGATGCGGGCATATGCCTAACCACATTTTTAATACCAATATTTTGTGAGGTTAAGATCTGAGAAGTGCCTAGGTGCTTTTTTGTCCTCCAAGCTGGCCCGTTCTTATAGAACGAGCTTTTATATACACTGTTGTAAATCGTACAACATTAAGCGATAATGATACAAATATGTATAACTTACAATAACATGCTAAATAGCAATCGCATGCATTTGAAACTAGATGTGTTGTAGGTTTAAAATAGGTTTAAAAATAAGTTTAAATATAACCTTTAGTTTTTAGTTACTATCCTATTGTAAGTAACAGTAATAAAAATAACTTGTAGTGAAACCTTTAAATATTTCAATATAACACATACGCTTACAAAACTAGATATTGTATACTACTTTAGGTTTAAAAATAATCTTCCTCATTAATTATTATTCTGTTTTAACTAGCAGGTCTTGAATGCTTTGTTCGCAGCCTCCGTTGCACGAATCACCAAGTTCCTCGGCAACACGGGCATTCCGTTGGTCACGACCGGCGGTCTCACCTTCGATTTTGTGCAGCCGAAGCAGAGCTGCCACCACGAATACTACATGATGGTGCGCTCCGGCCCACTCGGGTTCAAGGACATGGCATACTTCATCATCGACATCATGAGGCAGTGAGTACCTTGATCTTCTCCCCTCTTTCAATCCACAGCTAAATTGAGTAGCGGAGTTAAATATGCTGTGCCCACTAGCTTCGATGCTGTGTAAGTAACACGTGATACTGAACATAAAGCTGCTTTACACCCAAGCTTAATATTTTATTTTATTTATTTATTTAAAGAACGCAAACATAATGTACACTATTTAAGACTAAGGAAATTAAATATACATCAACTGTTCGTTACTGTCATTACAATTAAAGGCGCTGACAGCATGCAATATAATGGGCGAAGAAAAATACAGTAATTTTTTTTTGTTACAAAATCCAAATTTAAAACAAAATAAATAAAAAAAATGTAGAAAAAGGAAATAAGAGTAAAAAAACAAAAAATAAATAATATCAATACCAAACTTTAAGATAAAATTGGTAATTTCTGCAAAGATCTTGCTGCCGATTGACTGAGTCTGCAGGGCGGCGGGCAATCCAATCGCTCTTATAATCGTGCTCGTTGCAAAGTATGCGGAACGATCACATAAAAAGTTAATTTTGACCAAAAGCGTGAGGTAATTTTTTTTATAAAGTAACTAACCCAATTAAAACCAGACCTAGTAGAGAAAATTTGAAGTACTCTTTTTTCTACTGTAGTCTGTCTGTTACGACAAAAGGTAAGTCAACGTTTGCACAATATTATACACACAAACATAAATGTTATGATGAGATGAACTCACACAATCGTAATTCCTAATATGTACAAATGTACTTCAGAATTGTACATTCTGTAAAAGAACTTCTTCACAGTGTCTTTCCGTTATTTGCTCGTTCATCGTAGTTGTCCAAGTCGTTATAAAGAAAGTCTTTCATTCAAACGTATAGTAGTTACAAAATTTGCTTTTTTTGTTATTTTATTCGTGATCTCTTTTTTAAATGAAACATATTATGTGATCGTTATTCTGTTCTTAGAAAAATCTGTTAACCACTAAGAAATTGGTTCATTTTACTGTCAAATGAACCATGATGGAACATTACATTAGAACTTATCGGATTATCCTAAGAATCAGTGTATTGAGTTTATGCAGCTGGAAATGATTTAGAAAATGTTTAGTGTACGTAAATTTCAATAGATACTATTAAAGAAGCTTAAAGGTTATCATGCAATATTGAACTATTTTCTACAAAAGAACTTTGGACTTTTGTTGAGAACAGAAAACGTAGTGGTTGAACCAACAGCACGAAAAACTTTCATTAAATGTTTAATTTTAAACTGCTTGACGCCGCAATGTTTGCTTTGTGGGATAATAAAAAATAAAACGAGTATAAGAGGGAGGTCGGCTTTGTTTGTGCTTGTTTGTGCTTCAAGGAATTAGATATTACATTGCAATGAAAATTATTATTATTTTACGTAAAAAAATATTATTTTACGTAAAAAATATTATTTGCTTAAAAAGGGAAAAAGGGTGCGATGTATAGAAGCATGCTTCTGAAAATGCATATTGCGTATGGAAATTCACAACGGCCGTCGATTAATTAATACTTTTAGAAATTCAAAATGTTTCATTTCATCATTGTTGTTTACTGCTTATTATAACGGTTCCATTGATGTTCCATTAAATAATAAATAAGTAGCACTTTAGATTGGCTTTCATGATGAAATTAAGATTACAAGGTTTATTTTAGGTTAACACCGACCTTGGGGAAGCAATAATACATCGAGTGATCAATTAGCTCAATTTATAAATAATCTCGTTATTGAAAAATATCACACCGATACATTTTTGTATAAAGACACCGTCGCGTGTTTGTAATTTATTGAAATTGCAAGACATTGAGAATTGATCAGAAGATTGTAAGTATATCTCTTTTAATTTAAGGTATCTCTAATTAGTCGGCAAGAATACAGTCATATGTTATAAGTCTATCTAACCATAACGCTTCATGAGATACAGCCTGGTGACAGACGGACAGACAGACAGCGGAGTCTTAGTAATAGGGTTTTTCCTTTTGGGTATGGAACCCTAAAAAAAAAGAAGGTACACAACTGACGTACACAACACTCATAAGAGCAATCTGTACATAATGTTATATCAACCATCATTGTATAAATTACAACTGTAATTTTCAATAATGAACAAGAGTTGCAGAAGCACAGTCCCGAGTCAAACAAAAGGTTATATTCTTCACATCACCTTTGGGCAGACTAAGAAATGGCCGCCTATCCAGAACAGTTATCTTTGGCTCACCCAATTACTTGTCTCGTGTGGGAATCGTACCCACGACCCCGTGTCTAAGCAAACAATTGAGCAACTGCGTCCTTGCAAAGATTAAAGTAAATAAATAGAAATGAAACCTCTATGATGATGTGAAAAGGATAATGTTAATAAGATATGGAAGCTCGTTAAATATACATCAAATTATTTTATGTCCACTCTTACACCAATGTTGTTAGGTTTGCCGAAACCCGCCCTCCGGCTTAATTGGGGTTGGCTAAACAGTTTACCGTTAAAGGGTTATTTGCGCAAATTACAGTTTTCTGAGGTAGGGTAATAACTTAAGGCGTTTATCATAGGTAACGTTTCGTTTACTTGGAGTTTATAACTGTTACGTTTAGTAAATTGTTCGTATTCCTGCATCATCAGTCTAGTAAAATGTATGGTACTTTCAAATGTCTAGTAAAATTAGACAGTGCCACGTGTTACGTAAGGAATAAAACAAAGCCTTTCAAAGACGTTTAACATGATCACATCGTCGCGCGATGTTTTAAAATAGAAAGAAAAGTGAAAAACGTAAAAAATTATTTGTCAAGAAATTGAAGATTCCATAAAGAAATGCCCACATATGTTCAAATACTTACATGAATTACTCAAATACATACAAAATGTTATAATCAATGGCTGATTGTTCGATCGTTTGTACGCTTACGCCCGGTTTCTGAAACACTGATCATCTTAGAAGTTAACTAATCAGCTGTCAAATGGATTTTCAAATGTTATTTGAGTTGACAAAAGGATTGTTAATCTTGAAAACCACCCACAGCGTTTAGTGGATAGATAACATTCGTACATAAACTATTCTGTGCTGATAGTCGTAAAGCTTAAATTATTCATCGTTACAGTAACTTTTATGATTAATTATCATATTGTGATCTCATTAGATTGTTCCGCTTCTCAGGTGAACTTGCAAAGATTTCCTATAAAGTTGTCCGAACTTTATAGTATTTGCCGAGTTCAAAACAAACTTTTCATGAGATAGTTGGTTCACACTAAGTGGGCAAATATTTCATGAACTTGCACGGACAGTTTGTTATTAGTATTTACTCGAAGCTTTTATGGTGTTGTTTGTTGATAATTTTGCCTGAAAAATAATTATAGGTAAAAAGGAATGTGAGTTGCCGGTATGTATTAAATTCTGCATTCACTTCTAATTCTCAGTGCCGAATATTTATACAAATTGCTAATATAGGCTTCAACATTATTGGTGAGAAGTTCGTTATCGGTTTAGTTTGTGTAGTTTAAGTGGTACATATAAATAAGGATCGGAGGTAACTAAACAGTTTACCGTTAAAGGGTACCAGTTATTGTAAGTTGAGTTATATCTGCACTCTTAACAAATACAAATATCTTTATTCAATATAGAAACGTTACACTTAGTTTATGATTGTCAAAACACTACCACAGGTTCGGAAAAGAAAACTACTGACCTAAGAAGAACCAGCGGAAGAAACCCAGTAACTCAGTGACTTAAATTGCTTAAACATTCGTTGGGAAATAAGAAAGGAGCTGGAAACACGTGTGATTTCCTTGCTACGTTCCTGTGATTCTTCAAACCACAAACTCCTGGCGGTTTGGCGCTATACGATCGACACAGCACCGGTCAATTAGCGTCGCAATTGTGTGTACACACGTACATATAGTAAGTAGTCTGGCGACGCTGTTCATAAATGCAGTGTCGCGACTTTATACTAAGACATTTTTCAAATGTTTTTAACCGACTTCAGAAAAGGAGGAGGTTTCTCAATTCGACCGAATGTATACATTTTTTACGAAACAGAACGATCTTCCCCATTAACTTATTACAGTTTAAGGCTTTAATTATTGAAACACATGTTTTTTACCCGTATTAAATATCTACAATTAAAGTAGATTTTTAAACGAGTACAAATTTATATCTGGCATTTGTAATTGTGAATATTAAAACCCCATCCTCATCTCATTTTTTGAATTAATGTATTGATTAAGATATTAATACAATGATAACTCCGCAGGGCAAAAGTATTGCCAAAGTATTGGCTTTGGCATCCGGGGTCGTGGAATTGATTCCCAACGGGACAACTATTTGTGTTACCCATTGATAGTTGTTTGGCAACTTGATGTTTATCCACGTGAAATTTATGTTTGTAAAACGTCCTTACAACACTGGGTAATGTTATCCTAAAGTAAGGGAAATGTTTTTATAACAAAAAGAGAAATAGAAAAGATATTTAATAGTCTAATTAAGACAACACAGCGTAGAGTAGAGTTTTTATCTCAACAATTAGTGCATCCAATTATCCTATTTAAGATTTTAAAAATATATCAATGTTAAAAATAAAAAATAAAATATCTTTATTCACATAGACGCTTGCGCGTTCTTATGAAACGTCAAAATTTTACAAGAAATTAACACGTTCGTAAGTTACCACCGGTTCGGAAAGCAGTTTCTGTTGAGAAGAAACCGGCAAGAAACTCAACAGTTGCTCTTTTTTAAAAAATCAGTTTACAATATAATAGTACAGGTACAATAGTCTTGTTTTAGCCTACGTGAGTCTCAACAGTATTAACCCCACACATTGGCCGTCAAGATATTCGGCAATAGTATAATAGGCTTTAGCCATAAGTGTACTTTTAATTTTTCGTTTAAATTCATGAAGTGGCAGACTTAACATTGACACTGATTTTATTATACATGCGCACACTTTGCCCAATGAACGATCTGTTTACTTTTTGTAGGCGAAATAATGGCGTAATTAGTTTGTCCTTATTTCTAGTATTTAGTTTATGTCTGTCACTATTCTTTTGATAATTATTAATATTCTGTTTAACATACAAAATATTACAATAAATATATTGAGACGCAACAGTGAGTATATTAATCTCTTTAAAAAGATCTCTGAGTGTATTCCGGGCTCCGATGTTATAAATTGCTCGGACAGCTCTTTTTTGAATAATAAATATTGAATTTATATCAGATGCACTACCCCACAACAAAATGCCGTACGACAAGATGCTGTGAAAATAACTGTAGTAAACAAGTCTGGCAGTGTCGATGTCTGATAGCTGCCTAACCTTCCTAATTGCAAAAACAGCGGAGCTTAACCTATTCGCAAGAGATGATAGATGGGGACTCCATTGGAGCTTTGAATCTACTGTGATTCCCAAGAATACAGCGGACTCAACAGGATTAAGGGTTACGCTATTCAATTTTAAGCTAAAACTTTGCCTTCTTACGTTGGGAAGGGCAAAAAGAAGGCATTTAGTTTTTTTAGCATTTAACACCATATTATTAATGGTAAACCAGTGGAGGATACGCGAAAGTGCACTATTCACGTCGTCATAATTCGATACATTTCGGTCAACCTTAAAAATAAGCGATGTGTCGTCAGCAAACAGTGCAACATCACATAACTCACTGGCATAAAAGGGGAGATCATTTATATATACTAAGAATAATAATGGGCCCAAGATCGATCCTTGTGGGACACCCATTTTCATGGGGGACCCTGCGGAATTTACATCATTTTTAGATACTTTTTGAATTCTATAACTAAGGTAAGAAGCAATGAGATTTAGGGCGATGTCACGAATGCCATAAAAATCAAGCTTTAGAAGGAGGGTTTTGTGATCCACGCAGTCGAAAGCTTTTGAAAGGTCGCAAAAAACACCTATTGCATCTTGCGACCCTTCCCAGGTGTTATATGTTTGACAAGTGCGATACCCGCATCTGTTGTCGATCTGCCTTTAGTGAATCCATATTGCTCATTGTGAAAAATTTTGTTCATGTACTAAGAGCTGATTTAAAATTAGTTTTTCAAAAATTTTACTCAGAGATGGCAATATGGAGAGAAAAAATTGTGCAGAAGAGAATACGGTACTATTGGTTGATTCCAAGGATGACTAGGCACTTTTATAGAACGATTTTCTTGTACAATCGTGTAAAGAATGAATTTAAAAGAAAAAAGTGTCTTTTCATTAAAAAAAAAACCGCGCTGCTACAAATTTCAGACAAACAAAATTAAGGAAATTAATGGGTACAATTGACCGATGTAACAAACCTTGGTGTATTGTATGATCAAAAGTTAAGTGGTAAATTTCAACGTATTCTCTATACGGCAGTGGACCCACAAACAAAAAAAAAACTCCCTTCCTAAATGCAGTAAAACTGCATAACAAGTAATCGATGCAAGCGGGTTAGGTAACCAATATTAAGCTACGAAAACCCATAACATCCGACCTGTCGTATAACCTCGCCTTGGCACTTGTAAGTGACCTGAATTCTGCACTCAAGGTTCATCACGCATGCTGATGTCATCAAAAAAAAATTCAGTACCTGAAAATTTAAAGGAATTTAAATAAGTGAATCAAAAGAATAAAAAAAATCAATGTAAATTATAATTTTAGGTATTTACGTTAGCCCTCGCGATTTGGGTTACGCGCTTGCCTGTTAAGTATTGATAATTTCTATCAAAGTATCAATAATAAAGATATCTATGATTATTAATTATATATATCCTTACTAATATTATAAAGGCGAAGGTTTGTATGTATGGATGGATTTTGTTTCTCTTTTACGCAAATACTACTGAATAGATTTTAATGAAACTTTAAATAGTATAGCTTATTCATCAGAATAACACATAGGCTATATTTTATATACATATTTTTATGTATCCATAATCTATATTTCTGTCTGAATGTTACGCCTTCAGCCTATTCTAGACAGACGTAGTCGCGGGCAGCAGCTAATAATTAATAATCCTGTATGATATTTTTTCATATAACTTATTGATTTGTAGGTTTATTAGTAGGTATTAATCTTGGTGTACAGAGGTTTTATCTATATTAGCTACCGACCCCGTTTTTGTGGTCTAATATCACTGGCAGGCAATGTTCGGCAACAAAATATTTGAAATTGATACTTTATCTTTATCTCTTTTGAATTTTAAAATTCTTTATTAGGCCTGTCAGCTGCTAGAAATGTCAGCTAGGAATAGGACGTGTCCATTATACATAGATACATATTATTTTAACCGACTTCAAAAAGGAGGAGGTTATATGTTCGGTTGTACGTATTTTTTATGTATGTTCACCGATTTCTCACCCATTTCTGGACTGATTCTCAAAATTATTTTTTTATTAGAAAGAGTATACTCCTGAGGTGATCCCATTGGCACCATGTGAGAATATGATGATGGAATCCCGGGGAAATGTGTTAAAAATGGTTTTCATATATTTTTTAAGCTATTTAGACATTTACATAAGGTCATCATAATCTCATGACGCTGAGCTGATAAAGAAAGTTACAAATCTTTAACGGTTAGGAGTTAGGTGATTTCTTGTTCGAGAATAATGTATAGAGACTTGTCGATATCAATAATTGATTCCTATGGAGACTTGGATCCATACACCGAATCATCCGCCCTTAAAGTAGTTGAAGTTTTTATACTTTTGTCTCCCGTCTCACAAGTGAAGTGAACGAAGACGCCGATATGTTTTGTATTCTTCTTTCCGGGCTTATACATTATTTATGAGAAAACGTCACAAGCAAGGAGGCCGTTTACTGAATGTTAAATGATTTCCGCCGCAGATGCTTGATTACTCTTGATGAACTGTACCTGTACCTCTTTTAAAAGAGGGTGTGGGTTCGATCCCCACTGCTGGAAAAATATTGTGTGATAAACATAGTGTTTTTCCAGTATCTGGGTGTTTATAATATGTATTCATTTACAATATAATGATATGTTTAAGTATGTTTATCAGTTATCTTGTACCCTTAGTACAAGCGTATCTTAGTTTGGTATTAGAAAACGTGTAAAAATGTGCCCAGAAAAATATTATTTATAAAAAACACTGGTTCGCGATTATCTCACTCACCAAATGCAGCTTAAAAGTATAAAACTGAAAAGTATAAAACCTTTTTCGCGGCCATGTCAATTCGTGCAACAGCAGATGTTAAATATCCCTACCACAGTAAAATTATAAATATACAGTATTTGTATGCATAGTCCCTCAACTGATCTGTACTTTACAAAATACTCCACTTTTATCAACAATGGCGCAACCGTCGAAAGCGGTGACAAATCAAAATGATTTCACGCCAAATCGACCGAAAAAAAGCTCTCGCATCAACTTATGGAGAGGCTTTCGGCCTTATCGATATTTGTTCAGTGGAGTACTATTGACAGGGAGATAGTGCATTTGGCGGGCAAACATGGGGCCCGAAAATTGAATAATTCCCGCGGTAAGCCGCCGTAAACGAAATGTATTAAGGTAAATATTAGGCCAGAGATAGTAGGTTGAAATCACGAAACAAATCATCGATGACGAATCGTTCGAACCCATTCTTTGTTTCAACGCTTACGTATCTGTTCACTCAAAATCTACACATTGTTGAGTAAAACAATTTTACAGATTTTTATATAAAAAGTATATATATATATATATATATATATATATATATATATATAATATTAATTTTATTTATTCAATTTTCGGGCCCCATGTTTGCCCGCCAAATGCACTATCTCCCTGTCAATAGTACTCTAGTATATATATATAACATATATAACACATATAGATAACTTCCATGAAATACATCACATTCTTTGAGTAAACTTAATCATGAATCATAATTTTCTACCTCTTATAACGTTTTAAGTTGTATTTAATTGCTACTTTACTTTTGGAAATATATAGTGCTTTTGCAGTTTCCTTTAGTAGTTAAAATAATTGTATTTGTAAAAACATAGTACCATTTACGATCGAAACCGCATACATAACAGCCTCTGCTGAATAGGCCACTATAACCTTACAGAAAACTGGTGAAAACTCACCAAAATTGCTCAAAGTGTTGTATAAAACTAAAGAAACGGTATTTTTCTCGTTTAATTTCTTAGCTTTCGAACACTTAACAAGGTCCAAATAATGCGATTTAAAATCAAAATATCACGGGAATTCTTATTAGATACATCATTTGGCGGGTGAAGTGCGTGGTCTGTCGTTACCTTTGAAATTAAAAAGTCAATTTATAACCATGTACGTACGTAAAATCCAGGTATATTTATATACGTCACATTCTGGCCCTAGAAAAAATTCTGTTATATTTGCAGTTTTTTTAATAATATGTTAAATACAGTATCTATTAAATCTATAATATTTCTCTTAAACAAGTCAACTTAAATAATCTTTCGTCTTAACGTAGACTAAAACTAAGAATAGGCACACTAAACTTTGGGACATTTATGTGTACATTTGTGATTAGCAAACTAAATGAATATTTATTTTTTTATTTTTATTTATTTTTTCTAATTTTATTTTTAATTAATATTAGCATCTAAAGGATAGTTACATTTAAATTCTTTCATGGATTACAATATCATGATAATTATGGGTTTTTCTTGTGTTATTGCACTGTTTGCTGCACAGAGTGGTATGCGCTAACACGCTTTTTGTTTCCACGCCATCTAGTTATGACTGGCGACAACTACTGCTCATCAACGAACCCGAGGCGCAAGTACATGTCGCCGGCAAATCCACCTGTCTTCTCATGATGAAAACTTTCGCCAATTACTTGAAGAAAGAAGATATCATATACACACCGTGGGACACCACGTCCGACGGCGGCCTTAACTACACAGAAAATTTGAAGTTCTACCTGGGATACAAATATACAAGTAAGTAATCTTTTTATTTTTCAACCTAGCGGTTGACATACGCCAGGTTTTTAAGGTAAGAGGCTTTAAATATTGAAACACATATACTTGAAATGAAAAAAATGTATCAAGTTACTTCCTAAAATGTCGTTCCTCTCTTTGATATTATTAATCCCCTTTCCTGAGCTCCGGATGATTTGTTATATCGGTATGAGATGGCGCTGTTACAAATTTTATCAGCGACGTCACGAAGAAGGTTAGAATTCGTCGTGTTGCGTATAACTTGCAATAGATATCGCTGCGGACAAAGTCGTCACCTGTATTTTTTACATTCAACAGATTTGGCTGGGGCCGAGCGATGATCCTTTACGAAACGCCCGCGTACCTCTCGTTTGTAGGCAACAGTGGAGGGTTCTTAATGGCGAGTACAATTCACGAGTACATGCTGTTAGAAGGCATCGCGGTGTTCGGAAGGGAAATGCAGCCTCAACAAACTTACGAGGACTTGCTAATTCAATATGTCGGCAACAATTTCGCCAGTGAGTTTGGTTCTCGCGTTCCCTCACTCGTTCGCTATTACACGGTTTGCGCTTATCGTGAAAATTGGTGATAATATTGCACCAAACGCGTTTGCTAAATTGACATGATAGGGCTGCCAATGCAACCTCCCCCCACCACATATTTTCCAATCGATATTTGTTAATAAACTCTCTTGATTTTCTACATAATATAATGTGCACCAATTTCTTTTAAATTGAAATAGGTAAGTGAAAGAAAAAAAAAATTAATATTATTATTGTTACCGTTAGCAGTTTGAATTGATTATAAGACTACTAATTGATAACTAAATATTTAATAACTCTTTGAATCCGTATTGTACAGCTAATAAGAATTACAGTATTTCAAATTATTTTCAATAAAACTTGCTTTAAGATATTAGTGAGTGAAATTAGTTTACGGATATTATCGCGTTTTAATTTTGATTTTTAACTCCCGACGTTTCGAGCCTTGGTCACGGCACAGAAAATTATTTAGAGAGGTTGAATAAAAGATTGGCAGCCCTAAAAATATCACTTACCATTTATGAGGTTTTATATTCTGTGTGCCTTATCACGGAGTTTTTGCACGTTTGTATTTTCACGAAGCACTAGCACTGTATACCATTTCAGAAGTAATCTTAAATTTGTTCATGAAAATTCACATCCCGGGAGACGTGAAACGTTTTGTAAACAATCTCACAAATATCCATCCGTTGGATGGATGATAAAAAGTACACGTTAAAATTGGTGATACTCGCGCTTTTACGACTTATTCTATATAAAATTCTTGTAATTAATGGGTCATTGTGATACTTCCGTAAGGTCAAGTATTTGTGTGACCCACAGATAATTGTTCCTGGCCTGGGTGTCTGTCTCCCAAAGATGGTCAAGTAAAAGCGGGCGGTCGTAAAAACACAGCCAAAACCGCTTACAACATAATTCACATTTTGTGCCGACCCCACCTAGGTGGGATATGTTGTTATGCCTACTTTAGTAATAAGTTATTAAGTCGCTGGATTACTATTTATTTGTCATTGATAATTCACACCTTCATTAAACTAATGGACAACACAACTTCATTAAACTTACATCGTTTCAAAAATGGCCAAAATCGCAAATGAGTTTTCGTATCCCTTTCTATGGTCATAATCATACAAAATCGTTTTCTTTTTTAACGTAAAGCTTATAAATCCAACAGAAATACAGTTAAATAGTCCTTTTATAAGGGTTACCAGATTGTACGATTTCAGTACCGCCTAATAAACTGGATATCCGAACCCTTATCACATGTGCTGATTGGGACGAGTGACAGGCGGTGAAACTCCTTAACGCGCTGTTGATAGATGAAGACAAAAGCCCGGTTTCTGAAACACTGACAATCGTGGAAGTCAACTAATCAGCTATCAAATGACTTTTCAAATGTCGTTTGAGTTGCCAAAAGGATGGTAAAACTCTTTGAATTGATCATTCCGATCATTAAGGTAGATTCGGTGGTAGGGCCACGCAGCAGCCTCGGCTGTTGCACGTATGGGCAGGCTCGTCCGGGTAAGTTCCACGACCTCACAGAAGACCAGCGTAAAGTGGAAGTATGACAAATACTTTCGCGTTTCGTCTGGTGAGTGAAGTAGCCGAAGCCCAATTTTCAAAAGGTTGTCAACGCATCTGTAACCCTCCTGGTGTGGCAGATGCCTATAGGCGGCGGTATTAACTTAACATCAGGTGAACCGTCTGCTCGTTTGACAACTTTTCGCATAAAAAAAAAACTACTACAATTATCAGTATTTCAGAAACCTGGCGTCTGTGTCCCATGTTTAATCTAAGCTTAATTATTCATTACGTAAACAAAAGGGTAAACAGCTCTAATCAGTCGGCATTGTTCCAGTGCGACAGATAATTAAACCTTTACGTTAATTAACCCGTGACCGCAAATTAATTTGTGGTTCCAATGTGACTTGTGTATAATTGGAAGGCGTAAGATCAGGTGATAAGTTATTATTGTTTGAATGTACCTACATGTCAATAGACACATGATATCGGTTTTAGTACGACAATGCTCTATTTCGACTAATTATAAACTCATGTAGCGAGTTGGCGGTTTATCTGGTTCAAATTCAAATTTAGCAGTTGCGTGGCCATCTTTAAATAGAGTGGGCCCCGGTTACCTCACTCACCAGAAAAACGCAGAAGTGTAGCACTTCCAATTCACATAGTTCTGGGAGGGCATTGAACTTCCCCGGGCAGTAGGAAAGATTGCTGCGTGTTTTACCACTTTAATACAATTTGCTCCTTATAGTAAATATTCATTACTGCATATTTTTTAGCGAATTCAAGTACACTGGTCATTATTTTGCTCAGACCAGATTAAATCTTCAATTTAACTTAACTGTATATAATCTTAAATTAAACACTTGTAAAGGGATAGTGAATAATTTGACTCATTAAATCGAATGACTGATGTACATAAATATTTCCAATTAACATCTTTTGGTTGTTACTCATATTCAATTAAATTGGTCAGATTTGTGAGCGTTGATTATTACCGCCGTCTTATTTCAATGTCCCTTCACGGTAAAGGGTCCGGTCCGGACTTTCACTGTAAGCGAGTATTAAACTTTTTCGGCTTGATTGTCGCTTTTCAGACGACAAGATTGGAGAAGCCAAGCGATAGTTTTTATACATACTCGTATAAACTCTATTTCTACATGGATAGTAAAATAAACATAAATATATATATGTCTGATATGAAGGCAATACTGCAATTCGTTCTCGTTGCAACCGAAACATTGCCGATGCAGCAATGATATTTTATAATTTACTAAACTGCATAGTATTATTAATAACATACTAATTGCATTTGTAAGTATTAAGGTTTTTAATTCCCAGGAGAAACGCAAGTAAATTTGAACGAGCAATTAGCGGAAACGGCTTTGTGGATTAGGCGATCCCGATAAGTAGTGTAGCTTTAGGGGATAGATTAAAACTTAGGCGTTTGTTACAAATCGATCGCATCGGGCGCATCCAGTCTGTGGCTTACGATAATGCGGGTATAGAACATAAAATCTTTTAACGCTATAAGAGTTCTAACGTTTTTACCTTGATCCTAATATTTTAACTATTACTGAACTTCAATATTAACAACTATTATAACGACAAGCAGCACTAATGGTTATATCACCGTCCGGGAACGCAGTCGAAATCCAAGTGAGTACCGCTCCATGCGACCATGTGTCCCTTGGCTCGAGTAGAAACGTCATATCCGGTAAACAGTGTTGTCAGCGCCAACAACGCTATCCATATATGTGTCTAGTTCACTTTAATCACGAATATTTTTTATTGAATTGGCATTAAAAAAGGAAATCAAAGACTTATCTTCGCTTACCACCGCCATTACTTTTTTATGACCTCTCCAGCTTTCAGAATTGTAATTCAATGCAAACATTTGAGGGATCAGCGCCACTGGGGAAGTTTTATGATATCCTTTTTATTACATTTCATAATAATCCCTCATTACATTCACAAAGACCTTATAGCTGTAAAGTAGGCAGGGGTTACAAACTCCGTAGACGCCTGTTAAAATGAAATACGGTCCAGCTATGATGTGTTTTTGTTATATAAACTTCTGACACTGTACAGATGTGTCTTCGTTATATACCTAAACACACTATAATTACTACATAGTATGCACATACTTTAATACGTATAATTACTACATAGTATATGACTATATTTTTTTACTAGATAGAGTGATTCAAGAGGAAGGTTTATATGTATAATGCATTGCAACCGTGCAAAGCCGAGGCGGGTCGTTAGGTATGTATATAGAAGGGATACTCAACATCTATATGCGTAAGCTTTAACGGTTTAAATCTTCAAACATATTCGATCCATGATTCTTAGCTCCACAATCGTCTAGTAAATTACTATTGATTCGTTGGTAACTTCTGTTATTTTACATAAATACTTAACATTGCATCTACTGTTGCAATGGGTGCATCAGTAAAGTGAAAAATGGTACCAAATTAACGTTCACATAATTTGGGTACAGTACACACGACACGGCCTTATTGCGCGAATTTGTGAACTCAATCTATCGACGATTTATTAAACACCCCACATGTTCAATCTTAAGTGCAGAGATTAGCACTATAAAAAACTTAAAAAAAATTGAAATTGTATTATAATTAACCACAGAATTGGTGTTGTGGAGATTTGTACTCTGTCAGTTCGAGTACATTTAATTATAAGGGAGCACCTACACCATCGCTTATATTATATAACTAATGTAAAAAAGTGAAGCAAAAGTTTTTTTTGTAGGCGAAAGTTTAGAAATTGTTATCAATTAGTTAATCAATTGTGTTTATATCATATTTTGCCGCAAATGTAGACATACCTACCATAAAACAGTGCCGCGTGGCATTTTTCAAGAAAATTTTTGCTATATTTTAACGGAAAATCAACGAAATTTAAAAGATGGACCAGTTTATCATGAGATGGCAAAATTAATAAACTTAATCTAATATATAGCTGATACTGAAAAAAATCTAATTATTTGCTTCGTTTTAGGGTATTGATGAAATTGATAAAATAGAAAATATTTTAAAGTAATCATAAAGCTCAATAAAACTTACTCCTGGGGATAGATATTACAATTTGCTTAACCTAAGATCTATTCAGTTCATGCCCCCATTTATAATAATGATTATATATATATATATATATATCGGCTTGTCGGAAACGGCTCCAGCGATTTTCATGCTAGTTATGGTATTTGAATGTTAAATATTTCACTTGTCACTGTCCCGTGTACTATGGACTCTGTTTTTGTTTGAAACGTTGGAAGTTAAGTGTACAAAACTATATTTATATTCGAAATAATTTAGCAATTAATTTTAATAGGAAACATTCTTAAATTGTATGATTGACCCTTTTCATGCTTAAATCTGGTCGTAACCAGACTTAGACTTGGCTACAAAAGTTGTGGAAATCTTGCATCAATTTAAGCAGACAGATGCTTTAAAAAGTTTTTTGTGTTCCGTGGATAACTTGATCGGCGGTAATCCTCGAGCTTAAAAGCAACGTCTAAAGAAACATCTAATCCCTACGGACTTGCTAAAATAAGTTTTATAATCTTAATGGGTTTCGGCATAAACATGTCAGTTCTTATACAGGAATATTTTTGGTACATTCAGTGTAGAAATCTGTTATAATTTTCTTACGGCCGTTCTCAATAACGTTTTTATCTGTAGATTTGCTTGAGATAGAATTTTGACGTAAGTATTATGAAGCTTCTATCATCGTGCTTCTATCTTCTTCAGGATCGTGCTTCATGGCAGTCTGTGGGGGAAGCTAATGTCAAATACCTATCATCATCATCATCGTCATCATTTCAGCCTGTTTGAGTCCACTGCTGAACATAGGCCTCCCCCACAGACTGTCACGAAGTACGATCCTGAGCCACCTGCATCCATTGGCCGCCAACACTCCATCTAGTGGGGGACGTCCCACACTTCGAAAAAAATACCTATCGCTAGTAACCAAATCTACAGTAGACATAATTATGTTGTGTTATTCATCATGTTGTATTCTATTCTTATATTGTATATATTACATTGATATTATATAGGTTTTGTATACAGTATAACCTACCTTTTTTATAAAGTAATAAGTTTAGTGAAAGTTAGTTTATCTAAAAAAAAAGATAAATTAACTACATAAAAATATATAAAATTTAAAATCCCAATGACAAAGGCAACGTCGTTCATTCGAATTATGTTTTAGAATATTACTTGAAAGTTTTCAGTTCTCTAAAGGACATAACACTAGACGCGCAAATAATTCCACCATCAGTGTTAACCAACTTTTATCAGTGCTGTCCGTATAATTGATTGTTTTTCCTAACATTATTGATACTATATATTAACTAAATTGAAATATAATGTGAATGTATGTTATTTTGACTTGATATCGTTATTATTATAACTATGAAGTGAAATGTTTTTCACGGACTGCGGAAAATTATTATAAGGGTTATGCCTCCTAAGGTATGACATAATGTACCCATATTTTAAATTGTGAAATAAATTATTATTTCAATTCAATAAGCCTCTTTGTTTTTTCGCACGTTGAATTTCATTTTATTAGTAAAATTTTTTTTAATGAGAAAAGTTGTCAAGCGAGCAGGCGGTTCACCTGACGTTAAGTGAATACTGCCGCCCATGGACATCTGCTACATCCGAGGGTTGCAGATGCGTTGACAACATTTTGAAACTTTGGCTCCGGCTACCTCACTCACCAGACGAAACGCGAAAGTGTTATACTTCAACTTTACGCCGGTCTTCTGTGAGGTCGTGGTACTTACCCGGACGAGCCTGCCCATTCGTGCAACAGCCGAGGCTGCTGCGTGGCCCTACCACAGTGTAACACTAGTGTAAGTAGTGGTAATATTCAAATAGCTTTTAAAATCCTCATTAACATTTTTAGAAGTTTTTGAAACGAGTGTAAAACAATGCTTAACGCCCACAAGAACACGAAAGAGTGCTATAAATATACATTCGTTATGATGCGACACGATATCTAGACATGTCTAACCTTAGATTGTATATACAGGGTGTTACAGAAAGATGTAGTAACATTTAAAGCCGTGTATATATATCAGACTTTGAATGAAATGGCATAATTTTAAAATACGAATCTAAGCATTTTTTGACGATAAAAATTAAAAAATTAATTAACTGTAACAACCCTGATTGTAGAAGTCACTGACCGCCCATCGGTGTTATCACTCCAAACTCACACACGCATACATCTGATCGCCCGACTTATTCCCCTCTCCCTCCACTCCTCGTTACGTCATTACCCCACTTCCCGCTCCTCAAGTTTATCGGTCCCCTCCGCCCGCCCCTCGCCAACCAAACTGACAACGACCGCATCGCGCTGCAGGTCCTGGCGATGCTATGAAACAACGTGCTTATCATAAAAATTTATTTAAATTTATCGGATTTTATCACAACAGATAGACACGAAATAGCTATACTGGTAGTCCATGAGCCCTACTTAATATGTTATTGACTTTTCTTTTGATTAAAGATAGGTATTCATTATAAGGAAATAAAACACAAACACACTATTTTTACTACGTTTATTTTTCAAAACATTTTTTACATGGAATTAATGATAGAATCCTATAGTTGGTCAAACATATTCACAATGTCCACTGTAACTTATAATTTTTTAGTATTGAGATTTTGAATTAAACATTAAATTGCTTGCAGTGGAAGGTACAAACATTTTAGAAGGTTACACTTACTCACAAATCTTACAACGCCGATAAATTTATTCAACACAACATCAGTGAGATACATTATCATGTTATAGCGGATACATAATACATAATAATGACAAAAATAAATTTCGAATTAAGTAAGTTCAATGTAATTATAAAGTTAAAAAAATAAAATCTTTATTTTAAATAAATAACCTATACCTAGACATTCCAATGAGATCAGCGTTTACTAAGAAAACTCGTGCTTATCGGTGTCGGTCGGTTCCATTACGCGATAATATTCTCTTTCACTGTTATAGCACTTCAGCACTTGGGATAGTCATTGTCACTAACTTAAAACACACCAAGGTCAAGGGTTAAGGGGACGACGCATATAGGGCGCG